GGAGGGGGCAGGCCTGACCTCACAGTGGGCCTTTCTCCTGCACGACAGCAGTCCAGAGGGTCCAGGCTTCCACGGGTGCAGAGAGAAGCGCATCCCCTTGTGAAGATGGGAGGAAGGGACCGGAGCTCTGTCGTGTTCCCAGCTCACGGCCACCCGGCTCCTCCTGCAGCCTCTGCCCCACCAAATTCCTGGGCTGCCTCCTGGGATGTGGGTGTGTTCTGGGCCCCGACACAGAGATGCACTGTTCCTGCAGCTGGCCTGGCCTGATCAGCAAAGCTGCACCCGAGTGGAGGGACAGATGCTCCTCTTGTGCACTTAGGTGACTTGGTCGCAGACTAGCCTGGGGGTTTAGAAAGCCCTGGTGAGATGACAGTGCCCAGTGAGGCCTCTCTCCCTGGCCTAACCCAAGGGATGGAGAGGAAATGGGCAGTAACTTCGCCACCAAGTAACCCACTGTCACCAAACGGAGTGCTCCTTCTTTGGGATGTCCTGTGACAGGGATGGAAAAGCAGTTTAAGAATTATTGGGAGCAGAAGAGACTTAGCCCAGAGCCCTGGGGACCCCGGGAGGAAGCAGGACCAGTTGAGGGGGAGACAGGGAGATGAGGCAGATGATCTGGCGATGTCACCAACTTCCTGTCTCTGATCTTCAAGCCTCCCGCCTTCCAGCTGCAGACAGTGACCCTGGAACTCGTGGGCCTTGGAGAGCAAACACGGGTGTTCGTCATCCTTATGTTGGCAGAGCATTGGCTTGGACTGTCCCAGGCAAGCCAGGATAGATGAAGACATCAACAGTCAGAACTAGCACACCTCCACAATTCATCTTGTTCCTAGCGGTCTTCAAAGTACTGTGTCAATTAATTGATTCTCAATTGATTAATTGATTTGGGGGTGGGTGTTCCTCAGATGGTCATCCCAGACCTGGGCAAGTTACTTTAGGTCTCCTGATTTTGGATGTGTCAGATATGATGGTCACTGTTGTTTGCACCCATTTAAATGACCTGCCATGTTTCGAGAATTTCTCATCTTATGAGCTCATGCCTCGCACAGGAAAAGTTAGCCTTTAATATGCCCCTTCAAATAAGCTAGATTGAGTTCTCCTATTGTAAGTTAAGACTCATAATGGATAAAAACCCCTAGAGACAGCTATGCCTGCAATCCTCCCGTGAACTTTTCAATTAAACAAACCTATCTCCCCTTGTCTCATACGTCAGTTTAATTTAGATCCTTGCCACTTATGGCCAAAGTTTACTTAACAAGTATAGAAACATACTGTCAAAAATAGGGGATGGCGAAGAAAAGTTAAAACACATGTTAAATTCTCAAAGCACAATTCCTTAAATGTCCCCCTCCCCACCATCTAGTATTTCCTTTTTTGCTCTCAGCCCTTTAACCAGAGTCCTGGCCACCTGAAAGCTAAGCTAACCATAGTCAATAGTTAGAGTGCATTTACTACAGCTATTTCTTAGTTGTTGGCTTAGAAAATGCCAGTGAGGCTCCAGTCTGCTCCTCTGGAAGGTTCCAGAAACGAGCTGAGCACCTGCCCGTGTCCTGAGAGGTGGTGGTCTCTGCAGAAGCCCACCTTCCTTCCCACCTTGGACTCAGGCTTGCTGGTATCTAGGTTGCATTGTGAATGTATCAAAAGGTCAAGAAGACACAAAACAGCAAACTCTGAAAGGTGTATAGCCCCCCCACACCCTCCCACCCTCTAGGAGAAATACGACCCTGAGAAAGGCAGGCTGTCCAACTTAACCTCTGTGCGCCCTTCGAGTTGGGTCCTGTTATCTACACCCCAGATAACTGACTCCGACGTGGAAGAGGGTTTCAATAAAGAGAAAAACTTGCAAACATCTCTGCAAATGAAATTCCCATTTGTGCTAGAAGTTCACATTTCTAGCATCATCTGCCTGGGCACCGTCAGAGCTGGAAGAGGGAGGGAACAGAGGACGCTGAGGTCAGCCCTGAGCTTGTTCGTGTTTTCACAGACGGGCGCCGCGCTAGATGCCACCTCTGGAGGGCAGACCCCAGCCCGGGACCTCTGCAGGTATTTGATCAGGATTTGACTTGCCCAGAAGAGAGCAGGGCCAGCGGGGTCGTTCCACTCTGTTTTGTTAAAGGAATATTCAGCTAATACTTTCAGAGACATCAGTTTTTTGTGTGTGACTTTAAATGTCTTCTTAAAAAATTATTATACAATGAAACTGACCTTTTGTGTTGAGCACAGGTCTATGAATATTAATGTATACACAGTTTGTATAAACACAACCATACTCGGGATTCAGAAAATTTCCATCCTCCTCTTAAAGAAAAAAAAAAAAATCCTACTCCACACCATTCCCCTAACGTCACACCATCCCCCACGACTCCCCACGCCAGGTTCTGTTCTCCATTACTATGGTTTTATTTTTTCCTTTTTGAGAAGGTCACCTAAGTGGAAAATCGTGCACAGAGTATAATTCTGGTACTGTTTTCTTTCATTCAACCTAATGTCTTGCAGATCTGAAGAAGCTTCCCGCACCCAGGCCTCTGCACCGTGTCCTGATGCTTTAGCCACACACCTGCCGCAGGAGGCCGCGCTCCCTCCATGTTTAGGCAGCCTCTGCAGCCACGTTTCTGTGGGAACGCAAGTTTTCTCCCCGCTAGGGTGAGCACCTAGGAATGGGGCCGCTGGTCACCTGGTAGGTGGATGTTTACCTTTGCAAGAAACCACAGAATTCTTTTCTACAAGGACTGTACCACTTTGTGTTCTCAAAAGCGGTGCCTAGTTCCTTTTGCTCCACCACCTCTTAGCCCTGGGTGTTGGAGGGTTGTTACTGCAGCTGAGAGGTGGGGAGGGCATCTGGGCAGCTTTAATTGCATTCGCCTCCGGCTGATGGCATGGAACCTTTGCTCATGAGCAAACACTGCCCGCCACGGACTTGCTGGTGAAGGGTCTGTTGAAGACTGGCTCCAGTCGGGATGTTTTCCTACTCTTGAGTTTTAAGAATCCTTTGCAGATTCTCACCAAGCCTTGGTCAGATATGTGATTCTCCAACATTTTCTCCCAGTAACAAACTGGACTTTTTATTCTTTTTGCTGCATCTTTCATGGGATGGAAATTTTTACGAAGCGATTGTATCAGCTTTTCCCTTGTTGATTTGGGTTGCTCCCACACCTCAGGCCTTCCTCCTCCCTCAGTCCCAGGGATTCCTGCCCTCTCTTAGACTCTGTGTTCCATCTGTTGCATGAATGTCCACCACCACTCACAGCAGGGATTTTCATAACAGCTTCTTCAAGGCCACTGTCAAAACATCCCAAAGCTGTGCTACTTCAGCGCCAGTGTCTGCCTGGTGCCGCTGCCCAGGAGTGCGGAGACTGGCCTGGTTCTCCAGTCTCCAGGGATTTGCAGATTTATCCTGGACACTTCCTATGTTATGCCGTAAGACTCTGGGTCTTGTTTGGGTCCTCTCTGCTGACGTCACAGGCCTGCTTAGGAGCTTGGGCCTGAGGGAATGGAGGAGAGAGCGAGCGTGGGGCTGCCCTTGCCCTCTGAGTGTGAGGTCTCCTCCAGGCCACCCCAACACTCTCCATCTTCTCTCTACTGCCCACTTCCATGCTGGGGATCAGGCCAGGTGAGATCCAAACACCACTGATAGCCCAGTTTGGTGGGACTTCCAATTCAGGACTTCCTCCCAGTTCACCTACAAGTGACATTGCAGGTCCTCAAATCGCTGCTCCAGGTGACCTTTCCAGGTCCCGTAGCCTCCCCAGGAGGGGAGACGGATGGCGTGCTTCCTCCACCTTCCCCTGAACAGAATCCGTGACACCAGCCTTTCAGAAGCGTGGCCGGCCCTTCCTTCCTGTGCTCACCACAGCTGTCCTGTGTCACAGACCAGGTGTGTGCCATCTCGGCTGCTGCTAGAGCTTCCCCACTCGCTCCTCCTGGCCGCCCCAGGACCCAGCTTAGGAGGGGCCAAAGGAGCACACAGAGGTCAGAAAATCCAGCTCAAACTGGTCCAAGTGATTCCTCTTCTGCCCTCAAGGCAGCGATGAGCAGCAGCAGGCTTCCTGAAGGTCCAACCCAGAACCCTGAAGGATTTCCTTGTCTCCTTCATCTGTTTTGATCTTCTGGCGGTTCTGGTTTCCATCTGTGGCTCCTGGAGGTCTAGAACATACCTCCCCCACAGGGACGAGGGGGAAGAGTGAGGCCCCATAGTGCCCTCTGCCTACGTATCCCAGCAGCTACTGAAAAGGTAAAATTTCTAAGCTGCAAGGCCTGAGTTAAAAAGTGAAGGACCAGGTATTGTTAAGTTCCTCTGCTACACTCAAAACCTGAAATTCCTGTAGCTGTTAGGACAATACCGGAACTGCCCAGTAAATATTCCCCGACCCTCTGGTTGTTTAATAACCTAGGACCCTGTGTAGCCTGGCACGTAGGCATTCAGGGCCCAAACCAATCAGTTTGAATGTGTACCCCGCTTAGGAGTGACCAATCACCCCCGCCCGACCTGTTCCCACCAATGAATGTGCTAATCATGTATGAGAGTTGTTGTTCAATTTTCCCACGCCTCATGCTGATTTGTTCTAATGTATACAAAGCCCCCACCCTCCCCAAAAAGTGTACTTAAGCACTGCTTCACCTCTGCTCTGGGCTCTGGGCTGCTCTCCCTTTTTGAGTGAGCACGGAGCCCCAGCGCGATGGATTGGATCCTCAATAAACCCCTTCTGCTGATTGCATGAGTCAGTCTTTTGGTGGTCTCTACCTCCGACATTTGCGGGACCCTTACACTACCACTTCACCTTCCCCAGCAGGTTCCATGTCTACCCACACCCATCATCAAAGCCAGACCCTGGGGCTGAGCAGGGCACCAGGCCTCCCAGAACACACACCTGCCAGTAGGAGGGTACGTTTCCCAAAGGACATCACACTATGAATATTAGAAAAGAATAGACAGATGCTGTGAAGTAAATGATTCAGATTAAATTTTAATGCAAACATCAAAAGCATTCACTCATCCTGGATTAATTATTTTAAACTATTTATTGGCTCAGATAAGCAGTAAGTTCACAGGGTCAAGCATCAGGAGTGGCTAGATCAAGGTCTCTCTCTGTCTTCTTCACTGTGGTGTGTCCTTCCCAGCCTGGCCCTGGTCTTCCGGTAATCAGCAGTTTGGGAATTCAAATCACAATTTCTTCCACACCCAGAAGGAGAGCTCCAAGGAAAATAAATGTTTTTCATTGGTTGGGCTGGTCTGTGCCCGTCTGTGCTGATTGGCTTAAGCCTGGTTTTGCTGACCCACCACAGGGCAAGGCCTGGGATTGCTCTGGTCATCTTAGACCTGTCAGGGCTCACTGCTGTGGCTGGGCATCGGGTCAGCTTCCCTGAGAGACGGGAGCTACCAAGGAGGGTGGACACCCAGGATGCTCAATGGGCAGTTAGACACTGGGAGGTACAAAGGAGACCTGCCCAAGCTGCAAACATGGAACCAAGTCCTTCCAGAGCAGCTCTTCACTGAATTTCCAGAATATTCCGTTTGCGACACTTAGTGGGCACAAAATCAATTTTTGATGATGAGATTAATAAGTTAAAACAACCAGTTATTAGGAGGGAGTAAAATTCCAATCACACTTAAAATTAGGGTTCCCAGTTCTAAGGCTGATTCCACTCAGAGGCACTTTAACAGAGATTCTGCTACAGCCATGACTGCGAAGAACTGTCAAAATATTTTGGAGCTAGGTAATAATTTGGTATCTATTAAAATTCTACCCTCCAAAGCCTCTTTTCAGTGAGCACAGCATTGAGGATAGGAGAGCCAGTGTCAAAACACTCACTTCATACGCTCTAATCTTGACTCCCAGGCGAAGGAAGTGCTGTCGTCAGCTGACACATGTCACCAAACTCAAGCCAGGGACGGTTCTTAGGAAGGGAGCTGAGGACAGTTCAGGACATGGCGCCCCACAGGACTTTGAGATGAAAGGCAATGTAGTTCCAAGAGGGTGACGACCTTGAGGACTCTCAGTCAAGGTGAGACCTGAACAGAGGGCCAAGGACTAGTAAGACGGTCCTCAGAGCCAGGGGCAGAGTTCCAGGAGCGTCCAGGTGTGGAGTCCAGACAACCAGAGGGATGTTTTGTCCAAGGGCCTGGAGACCATTGACAGGTTTGACGATTTGCTGGAGGGATTCAAACCACGCAGCATGCAGCCATCCTCCTGCCTCTGGTTAGTTACAGCAAAGAAAGCAAAATCACAAAGGAAAGAAGTGCAGAGGGAGTCCAGTGGGACCAGGCTCAGGCCCTGAGGGTCCCGCCTCCTGGGTCCCACAAGACATGCTCAGCTCCCCCAGCAAAGAGCCGTGACATCTCCCAGCAAAGCTCATCAGAGACAAGCTCGTCAGGGACGGGTGCCTGGGGTTTCCTGGGGGCAGGCCATATGACCCCCTAACCCATCGCGTACCAGAATTCAGCCTCCCAGGAGGAACGTGGTGCTCAGCATAAACCACACAGTTTTGGAGGCCCAGCAGTCAGGCCGTCAGACACGGAGGTGGTGCATGTTCTGGGACCCCAGCCAAGGGCCAGCCTCGCCAGCAGGCCCTGCCAAGGCCAGTGGTGGGCACACTGTGGCGGCTCTCCCCTGCAGAAGGGTCACAAGGCCAGTTGGTACAGCCAGGCCTCTCTCCTTCTCCAGCCACTGGGGGTGACAGTCACCGAGCATCACTTAGTGGACACCCACATGTGCCAAGCTCTTCAGTGGCCGTTGTCCGAGGCTCTCCTGGAAAGTAAACAGCGGTGACTATCACTGCCCCCATGATAATAGGAACCTGGGGCAGGGAGAGGGTAAGTCACCTGACTGCAGGTGCGCAGCAGGTCAGCAGCAAGGCCAGGAGTCCCACGGTGCTCTCAAGCGGCATAGCCGGATGACACAATGATGGTGACCCCCACTGCCAGGCCCAGGCTCTGAGCTGGGCTCCGCACAGGCCACTCACAGCCACTCTGAGTCTGATGTGACCGATGTCTCTAATTCCTAGAGGCTCCCACAGGATCCAGGAGACCCTGTGTCGGGTCCAAACCCCAGGATGCGTTTCCTGGCTGGGTCCTGCACCTGCCCCTGCCTCCCCGCTGCCGTGTGTGGCGCAGCTGTGACTCCAGCTGCAGACCCCACACAGCAGCAGCTGGGCAGGTCATCACACGGCGAGACTTGAACCCGGATCCTGCATGTCCAGGTGCTGCCCCTTCCCATCACTCCACTCCTGCTGCTTTCACATCTCTGTGCCCCACAGGCCCCCAGAGGCTGCAGCTTGATGCCCCCAACTCTGAAAGCACACAGCCTCCTCCCGCAGCCTCCTCCAGCAGCCCCTGCTCCTGTTCCACCCCATGTATGGCATGCTGTCCTTCTGAAAGGTTAATAAAAAAGGTACTTGTCACTCCATTTCTCTATATGCTTAACAAAACACTGTTGAAATTTTAAGGACTGTTTGCTAATCTTGTTCCCAGAATGTGCTGTCCCTAACTGTGGACTGTCTGCTAATCTTGTTCCCAGAATGAGCTGTCCCCAACTGCCAAACTACAAAATGTAACTTCTCTCGCTGCCCTCTCCAAGGAAAGTATATAAGCTCTGCTCAAGCTGTTCTCAGGGCTCTGTCTCTCTTTGCTATAGAGAGAGCCCTAGCATGCTGGTCTGCAAATAAACCCACCCTTCTGCTTTTGCATAAGACAGTGTCTTGCGGTCTCTTTCTCCGACGTTTCGCTGGACCCTTACACTTCACCCAGACTGAGTACAGGTGACTTCAAGCTCATCTGCCGCGCTGGATGTCCCGTGTTGGCTGTCTTATACTGTCCACTCCCAAGGGGGTGGGCAGGGGATCACGGTGATGCTGGTGGCCGTGAGGAGGGGTTGCTCCTGGGAGCTGCTGCGACATCACAGTGGGTGGAGTATGGCAGGCAGTGGGCAGGAGGGCATGTCACCCTCTCTCAGGACCAAGGCCAGGGGTTGGTGATGGCAGTGACCAAAGAAAGGGCTTTTTGTCCACAATAGAGAGGGGTATTAAAAAAAATCTCCTTTGTGTGTTTGTGGGGGTAAGCCCCGTGCCAGGACGGTGCTCGGCCTCCCGCCCCATGTTGGCCCCCCACCCCATGCAGTCCAGCAGTGGCCCTGCCTGACCCCTCCGGTGATCTGACCACTTCATTGTCCTCTTGCTCTTTGCCTTTTCAGCCATTTTGCTTGCCTTTGGCTACAAGCTCTCAGTTGTAAAGATCGGCTCTGAGAACACAGGGATTCTTCTCATTAACTTTTTGTTCAAAACACAGGTGGGTTCCATGGCAGGTGTTGGATCCTTAAGGAAGCAAGGAGGCATAGGGCAAACAGTCCTGGCCCTCCAGCGCTATTTGGCCTCCTGCAGGATTCTGGGAAGGAAACATGCTGACCCCTTAAATGGTCAGGCCTGGCCCTGCCCCAGGGCCTTTGCACTCACCGTGACCCTGCCTGGTACTTCTTTTCCTCCTAATTTAGCCCACTCCTTCCCCTCCCTTAGGTCCCTCTTCAGCAGTTACCTTCAAAAAGCAGTCTTTGTTGGTCACCTTATAACCCAGGACCCCTCCCCTGTTACTCTACCTTTCCTCACAGTTCTCACTGCCACTGGATGGAGGGTGTGTTGTCCCTGATCTCTGCCCCTCCCCAGGTCCCCAGGGCAGAAATTAATTTTCCCACTATTGTAGTCCCAGCACTCTCCACTTAAAGGAAGTTCTTTGAACACGCTGGAGGGAGAACTGAGTGAGGATGCTTGAACCAGAGCCTCCCATGTGGAGAGGCAAGGACAGGGACTCGGAAGCCACCCTCCAGGGAGTGGAGTTTGGAGCAAAGGGGGACAGAGGTATGAGCTTGAGAGGTCGGTGTGTAGACCTTGCTCCTTTCTAGGGTCAGTAACTGGTGAGTTCCTGCCCTGCTACCTGTCCTTTTACTGAAAACAAAAACAGCCGACCACCAGGTTGGCCAAGCCCAGGGACCCAGGCCAGAGGTGGGAACCCATGTCCATAGGGGCACTCATGAGCACCACGTCCCTCCTTTCTCCCCACAGCTCCAGATTGAAGGCAGGGAGGGAGCAGCAGTCCTGCCTGTCCAGGACTCCTCTCCACTCACCCCAACCTTAGCTAACCTCAGATAAGGTTCTTCAACCCAGCAGAGCAGGAGAAAGGGGCTGGGAAATGGCTGAACTGACCTCCTACCTCCTGACCGGCTTTAAGCATATGCACTGCATGAGATCAGAAAGTCAACAAGTGAATCAATGAACAAAAGCGTGAGTAAATGCAATCGGGTGTGAGTGGAGGTGTGCTCTGAAAACGACTCCCCCATGCTCTGCCGAACGGAACCTGAGAAAGTGTCTGTTTATCAGCTGCTGCCGACCTAACCCAGTGGTCCACCGTAAGCACCAATTCTTACACTCTCTGGTCCACAAGTCAACTGTGATTTGGCTGATGATCAGGGCTGGGTTCCACCAAGCAGGCATTGAGTGGCTCATGTGGGAGCATCCCAGTTTCCTTCTAAGCTATGGGCAGCCACCTGGGCATATCTTCTCACAGCCAGCCCCCTGCAGCAACAGCGAGCCATACTCTGTTGTGAGTTCTTTACTGCAGCAGTGGGCAGATGTTCATGTTCTGTCACCTCCTCTGACGTGCACTGACCAAACCAAGTCACTTGATCAGACCCTGGCTGACCATGTGGGCAGTGCTCTCCACCCCCAGTGTGAAGCCAGACAACAATCCAACCACCATGCAAACTCTGCCCTAAACAGTGACCCAGTCAAACTTCAGGCAGCAGTGGTCACAGTCGGTGGGATTTTCATTGTCTTAGCGTTACTTAATTGCAATAAAACCAAGGGGAAAGCCACCTAGGCAGGCTCCCCCAGAGCCATCTGTGGGGGTGGGCGGTACAAGTCAGTGACACCAACAGTGCTGGGCGACTGGCCTGGGGCTTCCCGCCAGCACAGAGATGTGGTATGAGATCATCTCTCGCTTCCAGCAGGTGGGTCCTGAACACATTTTAACTCCAATTTCAACTTTTAACCGCAGCTGTTGCTGTCGCTGGGGACCTCATCTCTGCCCACTGCTGCAGTAAAGAACTCACAACCTGTTGTCTGGAATTTCTGAATCAGCGCCGCAGAGAGCCAGGCGGATTAAGAACCAAGACAGGCTCCCTTCTAGGGGTGGGTGCTGGGCTCAGGTGGCCGGGGGCCTGGCATCCTGAAGGCACACAGCAGTTCCAGAAGGACCCTGGGTCCCCTACAGAGGAGAAGAGAAGTGGGTGTGGCTGTAGCAGAGGAGGATAGAAGGTGCTAGATGCACGATGCAGCCCAGGACTTGCCTGTACCACCTGGCATTGGTGAAAAGGTGCTTGCCAGCTTGCCTTAGGCTTCTTCGGTTCCTAAGTGTGTCCTTACACTACACAGTGAGGAGGGTCAGGTGTCAGATGGGAAGACCCAGACCCCTGGGCCCACGACTAGCTCAGGGATCCCCAGCATCGGACGAGGAGGACAGTCAGCTGCACCTGCAACTGATGGGTCAAGTCTCCTCTTTCTCCTGTTCTTCCACTATATGGAAAGGAGGCTTATCAGTCAGGACACTGACATAAGAGAGAAAGCACCACCAAACTGGGTAGTGTGGGGAGATTTTAATGGAGAATAGGCAGGCAAAGGTGTGGGTAGGTAAAGAAAGCTACAGAGGACAATGAGTCCCACTGGGGCTAGCAGGGACCCTGTGCAGGGTCAGGGGTGAGAGAGTTGTCTAGAATCTGGAGATGGGGTGGTCACTGGGAATGCAAAGGAGCCTACCTGAGAGAGATGCAGGCACCCTGTGTCACCCCACAGGTGGAATAAACACTCTGCCTTACTTTCCTTCCTCATTCCTGCCCACGGCTGGGGCCCCCCTTTGGCCAAACCAACAGGTAGCTTGGAGAAAGGGAGCCCATGGATGTGGTCCATGCAGCCAGCCTCCTGGGGCAAGGAGGAGGAGGGGAGGCAGCCACACAGGGGGAAAAGGCATGATCATTCGGAGTCTAGAAAGATGTTTTCCCTGCTGGGAAAAGCCCAGAAAGCTGTCCCCTTAAAATAACAAGATTCAATCATGGACACACCCTTTCAAAGGCAGTCTCCTCTATCATATTAAGAGAAGGATATCCCATAGAATTTTGCTTAAAGAATTCTTTAGCATAAGCTATGACCTATGCATGTTGTTTTGACCCTTTGTGTTCTATGAACCAAAATGATAATGCAATTAAAAATAACTTGAAGTATCAAGACTATAGCCACATTTAAAAAAATTTTCCTTTATATGCATATTTTTATTGCAATGATGTGACAGTGATCAATAAAAGCCTTCTAAGAATAAAAATATGATACATTAAAATCAGATTCTACCAGAGAAGCACAAGCTCAAGGAGGAAAAAAAAATGCAAAATTCCTAACAAAGCAAAACCCCTACGTAGGCTGTGTAACATCGATTATGGTGGGTATCAAGTCACAATGATATTGAGGCTGGAGGCTGCTTCCTGCAGAGACAACTGGGTCCTGTGGGACTTGGTGTTTTCTGAGCCACCTGCCCCACAACATACGTAGTAAAGTTACGTTCAAGGTTCCTCTTAAATACCGATAGGTACAGCAGGCCGAAATTACACCCGTTTAGTTATTCCCTGTGAACAAACATTCTACAGTGTTTACATGTAACACGGAAACACACCTTAGTGCATCCAGAGTAAACGCATTCGGGGTTTCAGCGAGTTATTTTGCCATCAAAATCAGCCACGTGGCGGCTGCTGTGTGGGTGGAAGGTCCCGAGCGCAGGGGACGTGACTGAACCGGAGGAGGACAGCCCGGGGGACCGAGGGACGCGGGGCGGCTCGGGGCGCCTGCTCCTGGGGAGCGACCCGGGTTTCCTGGGGAAACCGAATCAGAAGGGGGCTTGGGGGACTCAGAAGACTCCTCCCCGTCGCGCCAGCATCCGCCAAAGGCCTTCGGGAGCCAAGGGGCGGCGGTCCACCGCTGGCCAGAGCGCGCCAAGGCCAAGGAGGCACACTCGTCTTTCAGTCGTGAGTGACAGAAATGCCACGTCCAACTGGCTTAAAAAACGAAAGGAACTCACTGGTTCATGACAAGGACAAGCGTGTTGAGCCGGCTCTGCGGGCTCCTGTCTCGGTGGCTCTGCCACCCTCCGCCCTCCGCCCTCAGCCGCCTTCACAGCCCACTCTGCAATGGGGCCTGTCCCTCATCCCGCCAGCTGCCCCGGGGTTGGCCCTGATTGGCTCCGAATGAATCACGTGCCATTCATGAACCAATCACGGGGCCAGAGTCATGTACTGCCTGATTGGCCAAGCCTGAGGCACGTGATCACCTCTGGCCTGAGACCCCCAAAGCCCAGGTTCCCAGCGCCAGCTCAGCCTCCTGGCCCCTGTCGGGGTGAACCTGGGCAGGCGCAGCTGTCACCCTCGCATCCTTCCAAACACGTGGGCCTCTGAGCCAGCCTGATGTCCTTGGGTCCTTGTGCTTTGATGGCCTTGGTGTTGGGGCCCCACTCCCCCGGCCTCCCCATGACTCCTCCCCGACCCTGCTCCCAGGACAGGGCTTCTGCCTCCTCCTCCTTCCTCCTCCCTCCTCCCCAACGACCCTGTGCCTCCCTGTCCCTCCCTGTCCCCAGCTCACTCTGCTTTCTTCACCGACATCCAGCCTCTGGGTTTCCAGCTCCGTCACCCTTCAAGCATCTGAGCCCTGGCTGACGTCACATTGCCAGGGCCCCGGGGGCACGTGGGCAAGAGCTGCTGCTGGGAACAGCCCTTCTCTGTCGCTCACATGAGGAAGTGACGAACATGAAGCCACCATTTTCTCCTTTAATCATTAAGAGGCCTTGGGTCAAAAGCAATAAAACTCTTGACACAATCGAAGTTTTCATGGGAAAGGAATGAAATGCTGACTTGGATGCATTGATGTGTGTGTGTGAGTGTGTTTGTGAATGTGTGTGTGTGTGTGTGCGCGCACGCGATTGGGGGGTAAAATGGAAGCCTGTTGATTGAGTCATCACGACTTGTTACTAGCATTGGAAATACAGTACTTGCTACTGCATTTAAACACACATAAATAATACTCTGTTTTCTAAGGATAGATGACATCATTATAGCTAACACCTTTATTCCTTCTCACATTTAATCATGACAGTGCTCTGAGCAGGTGCTGTTTCAGTGTTCATTAGCAAGCAAGGAATCTGGAGGGGCATGGTGAAATTAGGTGACTTGCCCACGGTCACACAGGGATCAGGGAATTCAGGCCTACTGTGGTATTCAACTTCTTCCCACTGAAGGTGGGTGGCCATGCGAAGGTCACTCCAGCCAATGCCATGGGAAAGAACAACATGGGGTTCACTTTGGGGTTGACACCTCTAAGATCTACTGTTTCTCCCCTGGGCTTTCTTCCCTTTCCCAGACCCTCGGTGGTGGAGGAGCTGCTGTGGTATGCTGGAGAGGGGTGCAGGCTAGAGGCTGTCACTTCCCCCACAAGGGCATGGCCTAGAGTAGGTAACAAACCTTGTTGCTTTAAGATGCTAAGATTTGGGCTAATAAATTAAAGCATCATCCTACTAAACAAAAGCATTCTATATATACACACACACACACACACACACACACACACACACACGCATATATGTATGTTCTGGAAGGCTGATGGTAAAGAATTGAATCACATTTATGAATTCTTTTTAAAAATTTGTACTGATGTTCATTGTTCTATTCTTTTAAGCCTTCTGGTATTTTTTAAAGGTAATCGATACAGCCATGTCTCTTTATATAAGAATACTTAATGTTATTTAACCTCTTGGTTGTTCGTATCAAGAATCATATTCTTGGGCTGTGGCTGTGGCTCAGTGGTAGAGCGCTTGCCTAGCACATGCAAGACCCTGGGTTTGATCCTCAGCACCCCCTAAAAATAAATTAATAAAATAAAGGTATTGTGTCCAACTACAACTAAAAAATAAATATTGAAAAACACCATGTTATTTTATTATTAAAGGCTCCTACAGTGTTGTTCTGTGCCAGGCACACCGTTCTAAGTGCCCCTCTAATATTAACTGCTTAAAGGTGACACTGACCCTTGGAGTCAGGTATTGTTAGCACAGAATGAGTAATGGAGCAGGATGTGACCCCAGGAAATTTGGTTCCAGAGGTGTGTCTTTAACCATTACCCCAACCAGGGAAAATATCTATACCGTTTTCCCTGTCCACCCCTCTGAGACTTGGAGAAGAGCTTGTCATAGGATGAGACTTCAGTAGTCTGTGGAATGAATGCATGAACTCCAGGTTCCAGAGTCTCATCAGACACACTACTCTATGGGAAAACTGTCACCATCCGCCAAGTTGCCATTAGTGTTCCCACATTGCAGGAAGGCAAGAGTCCAGCAAAGGGAAGGGCCTGGCGGGGCAGCCAGGAGGTGGGGAGCCTCTGTTCCACACCCCAAATAAATAAAAACCAAGGGAAGGGTTTCTTTTCTTCCCTTCCAGCACACAGTCTTGCCTCACGGATAGTCTTGCCTCCTCCATCTAAGATGGCATGGCCCTGAGGCATTCCGCCTCTCGTCCACGCTGTTCTGGGCTCTTTACCCCACAATGAGGCGCAGAGGAGCCCTTGACAGCCTGACCCAGGACCCCCCCTGCTGCAGGAAGGGGATGTGCCTTCCAGAAGAGCAGAACTGCTAAGAGAGTGGGGGCTCAGACCTGGACCTTATGACCTGACACGGAGGGTCCACAGAGGATGCGTCCTTCCTGCCCCCTTCCTAAGAGCCACAGGTGCCCCTGCACAGAATTCTGAAGTGGGTGCCGCACGAAAGACCACCGCCCCCGGGGTCCCTTCGCTCCTCCCTCCCTTCCTCTAATTTGCATATGCATTTCCTGAGCATTAGATGCAGTGGCGCTGCAAGAACACTCATCCGGATAATAAGTGGACTGAGGACTCCTTTCTTGAAAGCACTATTAATCAGAAAATAATAAATAATAACATAAGAATTAAAGACAATACTTGTTAAATTTAAAAAGTAAATATTAATTAATACACATAAACTCAAGGCTCAGGTGTTGAAGAGTTGCTTGAGGGCCACCTCTCATTGCGACTTAATTAAGAAACTCCGCCGAGAAGCACCAGGCTATTAAACAGAAGGTGACAGGCTGGTACGACTCAGGGCTGCAGAGACACGAGCCTTCATGAGTCCTCTCTGCTCCTATGAAAGCAAAGTGGGTTGCGTTCTGCTGGGGACAGATTCATTTGTCACTGTGAACTCTCTAAGGACAGGGATGTCCAGTTTAAAACTAATTTTCAACCACCTTTTCATTTTAGTGGTTTGGGAACGGAATCCATCGGCTTCAACCAGAGTATACCTGGTCGCCTGGTGCAAATATCTAGGGCCCCAGTGAAACTTCAGTACATAACAGGAGCAATTGGTTCTCCCTACTCAGTGCCCCTGGTCAAAGGCTGGGACCCAGACCAGGAGAAATGACCCTCTGTCCCCTTTGTAATAGTTTTATACAAATAACATTCAGGGCTTAGTTTCATCATGATTTCTAGGAGAGAAAAAAAAAGACTGAAGAGGGTGGAGAGAGGAGGAGATGGAAGTGGGGGAGGTCAGCAGAGGTGAGTGAGGAGGTGGAGCGTGGGGGCAGGAGGCTGGGACGGAGAGGTCCCTGGGTGGCCTCCTCCATGGCGGTGGGGGAGGGGCAGGCAAGAGCAGGGCTGGCCCTGAACAAACAAGACAGGTGTGAGCACACCCAACTGAGGGCCGTGCTCCATGGACAGCAGGGGTCACCCCAGCCTGAGCTGGGGGCTCTGGGGACACAGACACTCTTCCGGCACATGGTGTAGCTGGAACTCGGTATGTCACTGCTTCTACCTGGGTCTCCCTGGGCGCAGTCTTGCTGTCCTTCCTCCCAGCCTTCCTCTCACAAACACTATTTTCTCATTTTAGAAAAAAAAAAATACCATCTTTACCCACTCAGAACCTTCCACGGGGCCCCATCCTAGAGAGGACTCCGTGGTCTCGCCCAGCAGCCTCCTGGAGACACAGTTCCCAGTACAACGCAGCTCTGATGTTTATACTGATCACGTGTCAAGCTTATTGTTCGTTAATGTTGTTGTGGTCACTTTGGTGTTGTAAAGGTAAAATTTCTAAGCTGATTCTAAGCTGCAAAAGCCTGAAGTGTAAAAGATTGGGCATTGTAAAGCTTCTAGATGGCAAGGCCTGGGCTAAAGAGTAAAAGACCAGGTATTGTTAAAATTCCTCTGCTATCCCCGGAACCTGTAATCCCTGTAGCTGTTAGGACAATACCTGAACTGCCCAGTAAATATTTCTCCTGGTTCCCTGGTTGTTTAATAGCTAAGGGCTCTGAGTAGCTCAACACGTAAGCATCCAGGTCCCAAAACCAATCAGTGTGAATGTGTACCCCGCTTAGGAGTGACCAATCACCCCTGCCCAGACTGTTCCTGCCAATGAATGTACTAATCATGGCTCAGAGTTGTTGTTCAATTTTCCCGCGCCTCATGATGATTTGTTCTGATGTATGCAAAGCCCCCCGCCCTCCCCAAAAGTGTACTTAAGCTCTGCTTGACCTCTGCTCTGGGCTCTGGGCTGCTCTATCTTCCTGAGTGAGCCTGGAACCTCAGCATGCTGAATTAATAAATCCCCTTTTGCCCATTGCATGGAGCCAGTCTCTTGTGTGGTCTCTTTCTCCGACGCTCCGCCGGACCCTTACATTGTCACAAGCAATTCCCATGTCACACATCGATCCAGAAGAAATTTCGAACATGGTCCATCTAAAAGTAAAACAACTGGTAAGATTGAAATATTTTAAAATATGGTAGATCTCTCAGGAAGAAGTAGAGGGACGCTCTGTATCCATCTTCAGGCAGGCTTGTTATTTACAGCTGTAGGGTCCAGCTCCCTCTGGGTACATTTAGCAGGATGAGGTGGTAGTTTTATTGCAAAATATCAGTGTTCACCCCACTCTGAGCCTTGCACACCTTTCTCATTTTGTCCTTTGCATCTGACTCATTTTTTACAGGAGAGTTTTTTGCTAATTTTAAACTCAACTCCTTCAACCTCCGTCGCTTGCTTTTTACTTCCAGGACTAGCGAGCAGCTTTCTCTTCGGTCCTAACTTTTCTTGAGAAAGTGTCCCTGTGCTAACTCCTGAGGGGTGGGCCAAGTGGGCAGGAGAGGCTGGCTGCCTGGCATTGCATCCTGAGCAGGGGCTGGTCCACCCACCAGCCTGCCCCATGCTGCCGCCCTTCCTGGGGTCTGGGCACCAAGACTGCCGTTCTACAGATGATTCCAGTTTCCTTCCAGGTTCTTCCCTACCTTTCTGGAAGGTGGATGCAGCCATGGGACTGACTTTGCTCATGACATGTGGGAGGAAGTGGTAGTGTCCCTCTTGGGCAGACAATTTAAAGGCCAGCCTCCATTAGAGCAGGTTAACTTCCTCCTGCCACAGTGATCATGGAGAAACCAAAATAGCTTCTGTGAGCCTGGGTCCCAGGGCACAGAACTCCCAGGTGGAACTGCAGCCTTCTCATTTTAAGCCCCTGAGATATCTGGTCTTATTTGTTACTGCAGCATACATAACCTCACCCATCTTGAATACTACCTTGGATCATTTGCAAATACAGATGCTCCTCCACCTGCAATGGAGATCCATCTGATAAACCCATAGGAAACCAAAAATATCATAAGTTGAAAGCGTGCTTAATACATCTAACGTACAGAACATCCCGGCTCAGCAGCCCAGCACACTGGAAAGGTTCACCTGTGTGGTCTCAGGGCTACCTGGAGCTGTCACTGCTCGGTGTCACGAGGGATGATTTACTCCAGATCACTAACCCAGGAAAAATAAAAATTCAATGTTTAGAGTATGGTTTCCTCTGAATGTGCATGTTTTTGCAACATTGTAAAGTCAAAAAATCAAAAGTTGAACCACTGTAAATCAAAAACCACTAGAGTTGAAACTCCTGAGCTCAAACTATGAAATGCAAACCTATTTTATATTCAACGCATCTTTGTGTCTATTTCTTTTTACAAAACCTGCAACTCTCTGCCAAGTCAAAATTTTCCATCTACAGGAGGCTGAGGCAGGGGGATGGCAAGTTCAAAGCCAGCCTCAACAACTTAGCGAGGCCCTAAGCAACTTGGTGAGACCCTGTCTCTAAATAAAATATTAAAAAAGGGCCGAGATGTGGCTCAGTGGTTAAGTGCTGATAAATCCCCAGCACCAAAAAAAAAAAAAAAAAAAAGGTGTTTTTCCATCCATCCTGTTGAAATAAATTCTTCAAACTGGCACATGTTCACTATCACCTCTGATTGGCTTTGAGAAAGGACCCAGAACTTCTCCACCCCATGGGTTTTCACAGGGTCCCACAGGCTCTGACCATCGGGCTGTGGTCACTTCCTGAGTCCTGGCTACTGTGACCCCAAGGCCATTTCTCCCAAATCCCCCTTCTGCTCCGATGCGGTCAGAGGCTCTCGTCCATGAGGCCTGGTGTCCACCCACACGGCTGTCAAGTGACAGTGTGGGCAGGAAGGCCTCGGCAGCAGCGCCGTGTCAGTCCGGGGAGCCAGAGAAAGTGGTCAGTCGCCCTGGAAGACCAGGAAGGCGGATCAGCAGGCCCAGAGGACAGCCCTGCAGGCCCCATGAGGTGGAGCCGGCTGGCCTGGCCTGCCCTGCCCTGACCAGCCCCTGGGACGAGAGGCTGACTCGTGAGGCTGACGGGGACCTCGGCTCCTCCGAGTCCATCAGGAATCTCCTTCACAGACTAAAAAGGAAACACTCTCCACGTCGCACTGTCTGGACCTCTTTTCCCACGAGGAGCACTTTCCCTCCAAGCAGCTGGGTGCTTCCCTTTCCTTCTGGGGCCTCGGAGGCCAGGGACCCAACATTCTCAAGAGTGGGGGCAGGGGACCAGAGCACCCACTGCAGCCACCTGGGGACTGCGCCTGCCCCCGTGCCTGGTCCCCCGCTGATGGTGCTGCGGGTCTCCACTGTCGGCCTCCACTATCGGCCTCCACTGTCGGCCCACCTGCAACCAGCCAAAGCCGCTTGGATGTTCTCAAAGGTACAGGGGACATGAAGAGAGGGGCTGCAAGATGTGAGGATTCTGGCCGCGGAAACATTTGAACCTGGAATCTGAGCGTTAACCAGCCTCCTGGGGTGGACCACTGCATTCCCCCTGGACTGCCAGGGCCTGCAGCCCTGCTGTTACCTCTCCTTTAAGGCTGGGGCACTGAACACTCCTTCTGAAGTAAAGACATCATAAAACTGAGAGATGTTATCTTTTAGGACTCATGGTTGCATGCAACCTAAGTTAAATATCTTTAAGGAAATTCCTAGTATCAGTTAACTGAAACGTACTGGAGTGGCCTGTTAGCTTCAGGCACAGCTGGATCCAGGTGTCCTAATGATGTCATCAGAGTCTGACTAGTGTCTCCTGTTCCTCTTTTTTCCACTCAGGGCCATTCCTCAAGAGCATCTCCTGTCCTGGCTGCAGGACAGCAACTCAGCCCAGTAAAAAAGGGTCTCTGCCCATCCCAGAAGCCACAGCAAAAGTCTCCTGGTACCTCATTGGCCCCAAGCTTGTCACATGCCCTTCCCTGCACCCATCAGAGTGGCTGGAGAAGGAGCCTAAGGGTCTTAGTCCACCTGAGGCAGGGTTGTTCCTTCTGGTGGGTGAGCAGGGGACAGTTTCCAGGGAACACTGGGATTTGGTTACCAAAGATTGGGCCGTGGATTCTGTGCAGCCAGAAGACCGCACACTGCAGAGATCACACTCATCCACACCGCGGGGCGGGGCAGAGAGCTCAGGGCCCTCCTGTCTGGAGGTGAGGCCCAGGTACCTATCACCTGGGACCTTGGGAAGGGAGCCCTCCTAGTGCTGGGACACAGTGCACATAGGACTGGGAGGAGTGACAGTTTCCAAGGTCCGCAAGACAGGTGGCACTAGAGAGTGGAGGTGACCGGCAGGGGCGAGCGGCTCTGAACAAGATCCCTGCTCAGATGACAGGCCCCGTGTTGACAAGGTGGGCCCAGGCACCAGTCTGACCCCCCACTGGCACCGTCACCTGGCCCAACGGCTCTTGGAGGGCTGTGCTCTCCTCATTGCCACCTTTCAGACAGCTGACCCCCAGGGGACGTGAGGACATTGCCGGAGCCACAGCTAGTGGTGGTGACACGGAGACTTGAACGCAGCCCCCCATCCAGCGTTCCTGCACCCAGGTGGACACTGAGGAACGACCCAGGCCAGACCACGAGGACGGGGGTGGCACTGGACCACCAGGCCCCCTAGACCAGCTGTCTCCCTGTGCGAAATGGGGGGGGCTGGCCCCGATACCCGGGCCACTGGGCACCCGGCCAGCGGCAGGAGGACTTCTTTCACCAGTAGCCAGAAGCAGAAAATGCAAACTGAGCTTCTTTCAGCAAGAAGAGAATTCGCCTCCCCACAAGGCCGTGAGCGTCTCCAGCCCCTGAATCCTGGAAGCCGGTCAACACGACTCGCCTTCCGGACGCCCTGAAACCCGTCTGGGGCTGCCCCAGCAGGTTCTGGGGGCAGGTGGCCGGCACCTCCTGACTCAGCCCCAGGCTCCCCCCCACAGAAAAGAGCCTGAGCTCCCAGCACGTCCTGAAACCCGTCCTGACCGGGCCAGCGTAGGCCACGCGCTCCTGCCGGGAGTGGCCGGCCCTGGAAATGCCACATGCTGGTCAGCTGAGCTTCGGGCCTTGGCTCCGCCTGTGATTCCTGGATCCCATGTTGGCTTCTCTTGACTCACTGCAGGTATGAGTCGTCCCCAGGTGGACCGCTGATGGAGCCATATCCGTCCACGCTGTAGCTGGGGGTTCTGGACAGCAGGTCTGTCCCCTAGGAGTAGAACAGAGCTCTGGGAGGGGACAGAACAGGGGCTGGGAGGACGGAGAAGGCCCTGCAGGGAAGCACTCCCTGCCTGGGCCCACGGGAGTCTGTGCTGGACAGGAAGAACCGCTTACTCTGAAGTCCACAGTGGACGACACCTCCTTTCCCAGAGTCCTCCTGGGCAGGTTAGGGCGGCCTGTCAGATAGGTGAGTCTGAAGAATTTAAATATAAATGTTGTAAGTGACCAGAGGCCCCCAGGCTACCTGCTAGAAACAGGCCCGTAGCCTCAGGGGAAAGCGGACCAGTGCAGGGTTTATGCAGCCTGTGTCACCAGACCAGCCACCAGACAAGCCACCCTGAGAGTCAAAGTGCCCGTGAACCAGCTCCTCGGAGTGCTGCTCTGCTTCTCGATGAATCTGAAGCAGTCAGGTACATTTGCAAAAATGTTGGATGTCGCAACCAAATATCTGATTAAGAGACTTGAAGAATCTCCTCTGTTGTCCCCTGTAACAGAAGGAGGAAAACTTCAGCTCAACCGCACCATCGTTCTGCGCAGCCCTCCTCAGCACATTGTTTGGGTTTTCAAGCATGTCTCCTCATGTTCACATAATAGCTGCTCTGGCTCCAGGTTCTTGTCCTTAATCCACTGTTTATGGAGCCAGAAAGTAGAGTTTCTTTGTGTGCATCTTTTTATCAGAGAAGAAAATCTTTCTGAGGGGACTTTCCCTTCCCCAGAATATTTATCCTATAGCATCAGTCAGTCCTGGGGCCCATGGCTATTTTCTGGATGCAGAGGAACCTTGCTTGGCAAGGAGCCTGAGGCTTGCTTGGGTTCTGTGGTAGAAGGAACCTGGGGCTGAGCACAGGGAGGCGGCTCCAGCTCCATGCCGGTGACAGGCAGGAAGCCATTAGTCCATGTTTGATCCTGGAGGCTGTCTGAGCATTTGGTCAGGACACTTCTGTGTGGTGACGATCTGTCTCACTCACTGCAGGTCACAGGCCAGCTCCCAGATCCCACGTGCTAAAATCCTAGAAATCGCACCTGCCATCAGTTATTTTGACAAAGCATGCTCCAAGATGCTTCCAGATGTTTTCTAACGGGTAGAGCCGTCCCCAGCTCACGCCAGGGGTTCCTACATGTGTGCACTTGGTCCTCAAGCTCAGAGACTGCGGTCCCCCTGCGGGGGTGGCAGTGTGGGGGGGCTGTCAGAAGGAGCCCCTCCCTCCTCAGCCGAGCAGCGGGCGCTTGGTCTGTTTTACACGTTGAGCTTCTATGAAAGGTTTTCTTTGAAGAGCATATTTACACTTCGAATGAGTCCTGGAGTCAGAATTCAGAACTGTCTCTCCAGTGAGAACAACCAGGCGGCTTGGTGCGCTACTCAGCAGAACATCTAACTGGATTTTTTGATGAAATAAATTGTAGCTGGTTGACAGGCTGCATTGTCTTCTGCTTCCCACTTTGGGGGGACATCGATTTCCCAGTCACGCCCACTGGAGAGAAGGGCTTTCCAAGCGCCAGCCTCAAAGTCAAAACTACACCCTTGCAGGCAGAGCCACCTGGCTGGGGGCCAGTCCCCCTCCCCCATCTTCTAATCCGCGCTTTACGTTGGGTTGCTGGCAGCAGAAGAATTTGGGTTACCCTTCTTTTTCCTGTTAGAATGGAAAACAATAAAATGAGGCTGGGATTGCGTACCTGATCCTCAGGAGGAAGCATGTGCTCTCGGGCTGCTTTCTCGCCCTCTCTGGTCTCTGCAGAGCCTGGGCAGGGCGGGCTCCTGCCAGCAGGGGCTGCAATAATCCCGCACAGCCACAGCCAAGGCCGCCCCGGGGCATGGAGATGAAGAGTCCCCGGTGGCTCTTCTAGGCTGATGACAGGCTGATCTGGGCACCGCACCACATGCTGCTTATCAGACTCCAAGTGGCTCCGTGCCCGCCGCCTGGTCCTGCGGGTGGCTCTTGCTGAGGCGGCTGCATCCAGAGCTCAGGGGTGAGCTCGGCTCTCCCTGGGGGAGTCCGGACCCCTGGCCCAGGTCCTGGCTGGGCCCACTGTTTGGTGGAGGCACAGACCAGGGCACCATGGAGACGGGGCATCAGGGGAGGAGCATGACTCATGTGGCTCGGAGCCCAGAAGGCGTCTGTGGAGGCCGGAGATAAGATCACGGAGACACTGAGCGCAGAAAGTGCCCGGCCTCCAACAACGCTCTCCAGTCCATCAACCTAGGGACACAATAATTTGCTGAGATCCCAAGAGTACAAGAGAAGCCACGCATGAGTCAAGAAGCTTAATAAGCCAACTTTGTGCTCTCCACATCCCATTCCTCTTCATAGACGCGGCTCGAGTTCACCAGTACCCCTCACTCCCACTTCTAGGAGCACAGGAGGCTCGGACCCCCGCCCCTCAGAGTCCTGTGTGGACAGGTGACTACTCCCCGCCAATGAAATCTGCGAGAAATCTACAGGCGCTATTCCCAAGCAGAAGCACTGAAGCTCTGCAGTGTGGTTCTGCAAGTTGCCTTCCTGTGCCACACTGGACTTGGGGACATGGGTTGAGATGGCACAACCCCCATCATACTGGTCTATTGGATGACTGTGATGAACTGAGTTCCCCGAGAAACCCATGCTGGACATAAAATGTAAATTAGGGGAAAAAAATTTTGTTGTCATGGTAAGCCATGGAGAGTTAGGTCCTTTTTGTTACTGCAGCATCATCTGGCCCATCCTGATTATTATATCCAGCACCTTCCATCACGATATCCAATAGATAGGCACGTGAAAGGCCCGGGACACCCTCTAAACTCAAAGATTCCAAAGATCATTTTTTGTCACATTCTTCCAGGCTAAAATAAAAAAATAAATCTGAATTGTCAGAGGAGAGAGCTGCTAACTTCAGCTAACCAGGAATTGCTGCCCAACACTGAATCTAATGGAAGAGGGAAGGAGCATTTGTGAGCGCTGACCTTGGAGGTGGACATGTTAATAGCTACATCAAAGGAGATCTAAATTTGGAAATAGTCTGTTGACGGGTGGGAAGAAATCCGTGGGGCTTGGGTGCTTGGCGCCATTCAGGATTAGGAGATGAGTAATTGTTGATGCCCAGGTTGTGAGCACCTGGGTCTGTTAACAGGTGGAGGAGAAAATGACACCGGGTTTGAGAACATGCACTGCGCCAGCGGCTGCCTGACGCGTCCTCACCACGGCTCCCGAAATCCAAGAGCTGCCGTGGCCTGTGCTCCACGATCAGGGTGGGAGGCGCGGGAGCTGGCAGACCGCAGCCCGAAACACCCAGATTAACTTCATTTATTAGGAAAAGCCTGGCTGGCGTCGCAGGCACGTGTTGGTTCTGCCCCCGGCCCCCCACTCCCACTATTGGCAGAAACGAAATATCCCCCTATGCTTCCCAGGGGACCACCCCGCCACAGTGGCAAGCCAAGAGAAACGAGAACATGCCACCAAAGATGTGGCTCAGAGGGCTCACGGCGACTTGTTCAGGAGAGCCGAGCAGTGGGGACGGCCAGGCTCCGTCAGGGGGCGGATGAATCGAATGATGATGATGATGATGATGATGATGATGATGATGATGATGATGGTGGTGGTGCAGACCTCGGTGCAGCCACAGGATGGGACACTGGCCCCTCAGCATCGGAAGTGAACGGCCTGTCGAGACGGCCACAGCCGGGAGGGGTCCCGAGGACAGCCACGCCGTGCGTCTCAGTCCGCTTCTTGGTGGCTGTGACCGACACCCCTGAGGACGACCGCGGAGAGGAGGAGATGCTCATCCTGACTCCCAGTTCCTGAGGTCGGTCACGGCCGGCGTCTGCGCCCAGGGAGAGGGGGAGCGACCCGGGAAGGGCTTGGTGGGGGAAGAGAGAGAGGTCCAGTCACCGGGGACCAAGGACACAGCCCTAGGACCCACTGCCAGCGACCTCCTTCCCCGTCACACCCTGCAGCCTCCGTGAACCCATCGATGGATGGATCCACGTTGGACCGCAGCCTCTTATCTGTTCCCTTCACCTCTGAACGGGCCTGCACTGTCTCACAGGGGACACCGCACACCTAGACCGTGACACTAAGAAGGGAGGCCAGACGTAGAGAGTCACTTAGGATCTGAACCCCTGGATGGGACATTCTGAAACACCCTACGGAGGGGATTGTCACCGTGGTGGCCAGCGGATGGGGGGAGAGAAGAGTTTTGTGACCTGATTTCGGTGGGGGATATGCTACCTTATACGTGTGTCACAACCCATCGTCCTGGGTACCCAGAAAGTCAGCCTTACCACAGGATTATTTTTAAAATGACATGACTTTTCTGGAAGGCTTACTAATTTAAATTGGGTTTTAGGACTCTAAATTGATCTTCTAGATCAGAAGTTCTTTGAAAAATAATTGGATGGTCCCTTTTTATTAAAGTTGAATCTTTAAAGAAGATATACATATTCATTTCTTGAGCGAGCGGATTCCCTGAGGTTTCTTTCTTTTTTTCTTTTAAGTAGAATTTAACATTAAGCGTTGGCTTTGTTGGCATTGCAGCCGGTGAGCATAGTTCATTTCAACGCTTGGTTCAGTTCAGGTCAGCAAAAATGTTTATACAATTAAATACACTGGGAAAGGAGTCACGCTTCAGAAAAGTATGGAAATGCAGTTGTTAAAAACGAAGGTGTTGATTGATGACGCATCTTCCTCCAGGACCTCTGAAGTCAAGTCCCGCCGCAGGGTGGTGCCTGTTCCGCTGTGTCACACAGAGGGGACGGCGGGGGTCTCTGTAACCCAGGGGCCAGGAGGACAAGCACGGCTTCCCCTGCTCACTCATTTACTCTTTCTTTTTTTCTTTCTTTCTTTCCTTTTCTTTTTTTTTTTCTGTCTTTGCTGGAAGATGGAAGAAAATATTTTTTCTTTCTTTTAAAGTGAGGACAGTAAAGGGAGCACCAGCCAAGAGAAAAGGGAGGAGGACAAAAGGAGCGCTGGTTCTGTAGGGACGACTCTCCGCAAAGAGACGCCATCATGCTTGTGCGTTCCTTGTTAACTGAACCCTGCTGTCATTTGGAGTGGTTGTATTCCTACCTTAAAAAAAAATTCTCCCCCAGGCTCTGTGGCATCTAATACTCATGACCCACAGATCTAGCTGATGGTTACTACGCACAAGGCACTGTGTGGGACCTTCAGGAAAACTCTGAAAGGAGCTGACTCAGCAGGCAAGTGCCCTTGTCTGTGGTGTTGGCTGGAGCATTGGCAGCCATATTGAGAACATGAGCACAGGACTCACAACAAAGATAGAGGAGAGGGAAGAGTCCAGAAAGTACCTGGGTCCCTGATGCTAGTCTTGTGTACCCAGAAAGTCAGTTTCATAATCATGAAACCACCATTTTATTCCTGGCTTTAGACTCATTTATCAGGAGGTAAGATGGACCCTTAAGTTTTTTGGAAAAGGGTTGGGTGTTTCTATTACTTGTAGCCAAAACAAACATCAAGAAACCTCATGCCTCATTTTCATCCACCCATAACAAATCCCCTCCTGATGTGAAAATGTGCCTCTCTCCCCTCTTCCCAGGCGGCCCTTCCTTGATCTGAGATGACAGCTATTTCTGCTACATTTCCATTTGCATAGAAAGCATCGGATTATAATGTATCGTCTCCATTTCACCATGCAAAACAATCCTTCTTTGAAGTCAATCACGAGAAAGCTCATCCCAGGAGTAATTTTCTGATCATCAAATTTGTGAATATATATTTTAATTTGCCACCCCTGCTGGCGTGCCAGTTGGTGGGTGTGCTAAACCCTGGAGATTTCATCTTCATTTTCTAAATCAATCCTCGGATACCCCTCAATCGTATGCACTTGTTAGGAGATAACTTAGAACAGGATCTCAAGAAGCTGGCTGGAACTTCAGGAATAATTAGAGTTGAGATACTGCTTAGGCCATAGGGTGAGTGTCTATAAGAGCTGTCAACAAAGTCAGGAAAAAAGCTAAGCTCTTCTAGAACTCATCCAGAAGAGTGGACTTCCCCTGCCTCTGCCCAGCCCCTCGCCATCCCCGCATTTCCTGAAAGCCCGTATCTCTCCAGTCCCCTCTCCAGAATGGGCATTGTGGGCCACCCACATTTTTACCCCTCTCTCTTCTCAATTAAAGCCTTGATTGTCTTCTTGTGACCAGTGCAATCCACGCTAGGTGGCTGCTCTGTGGCTGCGGGATTTCTGGCTTCTCCTTTGAGGATGACCTAATACCTCAGGGGAGAGACTCCCCGACCTGGAAGGGTTTTCAGAAGGTCCTGGGTGACGACAAATCACAACCAACGACATCATCCCGTTATTCTGCACAGTGTGCAACTCAGCCGTTAGGTCATATCTGGTTTCCTGGTTAAATAACAGCAAAACGTCTTAAAATTTCCAACTCCCTGTTTGAGAAGTAGAAAAGAGGAACCAAAGATTGGTATCGAGGATTACGATATGAATTCCAGATGTTGTTCCAGGGAAAGGCGTCTGGGGCGTGCACTTGCTGATGGGGTGTAATGAGAAGCACTCAGCTTTAGAAGAGAAAGCTTCTCGTTGCTGGAGCATGGACGTGTGTGTCAAAGTAAAAAGCTCTAAATGCCCCAAATCCAATCCTCCTGAACGAGACGGGGAACGTTCATCAAAATGATTTCATTAACCACGAGTTAAAAGGATGAGAAAGTTGATTCTCAATAGCACGAACAAGAATCCCACGTAGCCAATGAGAAGGAAGTTAAATTAGATGGAATCACTTCAATATTTTAAGGGGAAATTAAACTGTAACTCTTGGGTTATCTCTAGCACCAGGGGACAAGGAAGACACTGCTCTGTGAGTTTTCTGGGTGTTGGCCTCACTTCTCCTGCATCGCCAGACATCCAGGTCCTAGTCAATGGTAAGTGCAGCCTGACTGTCCCTTGTCCCAAACGCCGGGAGCAGAAGTGTTCCAGATCTGGGATGTCTCCTGGACTTTGGAATATTTGCACATAGAATGAGATATTCTGGGATGGTGATCAAGTCTAACATGAAGCTCATTTAAGTATATATATAAATATAGGCTGAAGCTCATACAACATTTTTGTGCATGAGACAAGGTTTCATGTGTGGAATTTTCCATTTGCAGCATCCCATTGGTGCTCAACAGGTTCCTGTTGGGATTTGGAGCACTTCCGATTTGGGGGTGGGGGGTGCTCATTCTGTAGCAGGTCAACGTCACCTGCTGCTGCTGGAGGTCCGCTGCCCCTTAAAGGACTTGTCAGATGTCTTCTGCTCTGACACTCGTGTTTCCAAGCTTCCAATGTTCTTTCTTAATATATATAAATGTTGCCCCCTAATAAATATGTTGGTTTTCCTGGGCTCTCTCCCCTTGAAAGCTGTGTTCAGTCATTCATTTATTTAACAGAGTCCTATCGGGCTTCCATTCCACCTCCAGAGCTCAGCTGGACAGTAAGGAAACAGAAATGAATGAGGCATGATTCCAACTTGAAGAAACAAAGCCATGGAATTCTAGCAAGGTATGTTCATTGGATTGTTAGAAGCAATAACAAGGAGTCATGAGGTGAAGGGGAGGGAGAAAGCAATTCTGCCTTAACTTTGGAGGTCAGAGTTAGTCTGCGTTCTGCTGCTATAACAAAATACCTGAGACCTGGAGACTGGGATGACCAGGCGCACTCTTCCTCTGAAGGGCCACATCCCCACCTCCCCCTCCTCTATGAAGAGGGTCAAAAGCTGCACATCTCACTGGGCCATTGGGTACTCATTCGACGCTCCGTGCAGGTAGCAAACTCACATGGCTTTCCTTCTGCGAATCTGTCTATTGCATGCACTTCAGCACACTCAGCTGTCAGACCCCAGAGGGGATGAGAAGGTTCTTGCCCGCGCGGTGGTTTGCAGCCGACCCAAGACGGACACCCCTTCTTTACCTGCCCCCATCCCCGCTACAGTCCTCACCGCAGACCAACAAACCCAAGGAGCCATGCGGTGAGGGGAGGGAGGAAGCAATCCTGCCTTCACTTTGGCGGCCACGGCCAGTCTCAGTCTGGGAGAACTCACCTTCCAGCCACAAAGTCACGCTCTCCAGTCCCTCCTGGGAGGCAGGACACGATCCCTGTCCTCCGAGAGCTTCTGGGGGTGACACACCACACTCCCCCGAGGACCAGGTCACCCACGTTCTCACAGTGAGGAAAGCCTCCTCCGTGGCATCGCACCCTGGAAGGAAGAGGCCTCCGGGAACCGACGCCTGCGGAGGTTTGGGGGCGGCTCCTCCAGCTCCTCGTGCTAGGACCTCCATTTCCCTGGAGCAGGAGCCCCTTCTTGTAGGTCCAGCAGCGTGCCCTGCGAGCAGGCCTGGATCAGAGTCCCCATCACCAGCACAAGAGACCCTCGTGGGCCAAGGTCAGTGGCCCCAAGTGCATTTTCCTGGCCCCAGAGGGTCATCGTCTCTTGGGGGAGTCCTCACACTGAACCCTTCTTGTGTTGCTGAGTGTGTGGGTGACACGGGGTGTCGTACTTTATATGAGAGACTGCTTCAAAACATCCAGCCGTTGGCCTTCACCACGTTTGTTCATTCAGCAGAGACCTAAGGGCTCCTGCTGCTGCCCGCAATGTTCTGGAAGCTCAGATGCAGCAGGTGTCGGACACGGGGACTCAGCTCAGGAGGGGGGCCTCGCAACCATGACTCGGTTTGCACCTGGAGCATCCTGCCCAGCCAGTGGGGGGTGGGGGCACCCCAGGCTCCCAAGCAGGACCCAGGAGCCAGGTCCCACCCAACAGCACCAGCGTTGCCCTGGCAACAGGAACGCATTACTGACAGGCGGGCGGTCAGCGCGGGTCCAGCCAGCAGCACCTCGGGCTTCTGTGAAAGCTGTTGGTGTCCACTCACGTTGCTGACCAACCGCAAGAAAAGGGTCCCCGGGAAATGTCACGCTCACCTGGCCCCCAGGAGTGAAGCCATGTCCAATGCAGCCTGATGACCACTGAACTTGATGACTAGACTTGGCTGTGGCTGACGCAGGCCTGAGAGGACACAAGCCCCCCCCAGGACGTGTGTAAGGGTGAAGGGCACTGACCGCAGGGCCAGTCACACAAGAATGGCCTGGTCTGGACAAATGGGCATGTGGCCCTCAGCACAGGACTGAGGCAGGAAATGACCTTCGCATAAGACCATTCACTCGCCCTGCAACGGATGTCCCCTGCTTAATCCAGGCAGGGCTCGGCTCTGCCGTTTAGTGACGGGTGGAGAGTGGGACGCTGCTGATGACCCTCAGGGAGGCCACGTGGGCTCACCCGGGGAAGGCCTTTCAGGCCAGGACGGACCTGAGCTCGCCCTGCACACTGGCGCCCCAGGTAGCCAGAGCCAGCCTGGGCGTGGGGGGTCCAGATGCCCAGGCCGCGGGCCTCCCACCGTCACAACCTAAGCCCACGGTCACAGCACAAGACCCCCAGGGAGCCACAGGCGGGGCACTTGCTCTCTGCCCTTGAATCATGCCCTGTTTTCAGAGTTCGCAAAACCCAGCGACAGTGAGTTACCGGGCAGAGCCACAGCCTCGCCCTCCCGGCTGCCCGGCCCTGACTGGGGCTCCAGGCCTGCGGCTGCGCGTCCTGCTGCTCTCTGTCCCCCTCCTGTTAGAGCCTCTGCCCGGGGGCCCTCGTCTCTGGTCAAGAAGACGCCGGGGACAGAGCACCGAGAGGCCTGGCCTCCGCCTCCTCCTCCCCTAGGACTTTGGAATGAGGCAGGTGCCCTGGCTACACCCCCCTATGTAACTAGCTCCCGGAAAGAAAGCTACCTGGTGGCAAGGCAGGTGCCTGGGTCTGAGCCACGCCCTGCAGGAGGCGGCCTAGTGAGGGAGCGAGCCCTCGGCCCTCGGCTGGCCCTCGGCTGGCCCTCAGCAGGTTGCATGGGGTTTATTAGTTTTTTGCTCATGGAAAAATACAGGACGTGTTGCCAAGACCTGCCCTGTCCACGGCCCACACGTGTGGCCAGCACATCAGGCTGGCCTAGACCCCGACCCGCCTGGAGGAGCGGAGACGCGGTTTTTCTTCCCTTCCGAGGGGCAGAGGCTGGGTGTCCTGCAAACCAGCAGACCTGAAGCCATGTGGGACAGCTGGCCACCTGACAGTTCCTCGTTTCCCTCTGCAGGACGACACCAGGTGTCACGCCCAGCCTCCACACCAGGTGTCACGCCCAGCCTCCACACCACAGAAGCCCAGACCCGACTGGCTCTGAAGCACCTCTGGATCCTCTGGGCCTCTCCGCCTTCCTTGCTCTGCGTCGTGTGTGGCACCTTCCTGTCCTCACAGGTGACTTGCTCATCTGTCTCACATCTCATTGGAGTCGGAAGCAGTGAAGCAAGCCAGGCCCCGGCCCCGTCGTCGTCATTCTTCCCAGGTCATCGTGACTGATTCTCTGGTGCCACATTGATCCCCCAGGAACCTGCGGCTGAAAAGAACTGCTGATGCGGATTCACCTCTGATGGACTTTTCTGTATGATGTTCTGAGAAGACGGAAATCACAATTTGGGATCCTAACAGGACAGCAAATTCCATCTAAATAGATGTAGGTGTATCCTCTTTTTTTTTTTTTTTTTAATTTAAAAATGCATGCAGAGCAGGAGAAGGTGGCCGCCACCAACCCCAGGAACACAAAAGCGATTCTCTGGAACTCTGCACCTTCCTTGGTAACGTGGTGAGTTCCCACGGAATTCAAGGGACTCAGACCCACACGTGTGCTGCCTGGGTCCTCCCACTCTGTCCCCCACCCCCACCTCATCCTGAGGTCAGGGCCAGACGTTCAACCACAGGTCAGAGCTCCTGCTCTGTCACCAAGATGGCCTCCCGTGTCAGAGGCTCCATTTTTTGAAGAACCCCTTGCTTTATGACAGAGCAGTGTCCGTCACACAATAGACACCAATGACTGTGTCAGGAATGGAGGGATGGGTCATCCAGGATGAGCGGGGAAACCCAAATGCCACCTGAAATGGGTCACGTGGACTTTAAAGCCAACAGAGGCCAGAGGGTCCCAGAAACCTTTGGGGGCACCCCCGATCGTGAAGTTTTTTGGAGAAACCAGCTACACGCAGCCCAGCCTTAGCGTCATGACAGGTGTCCCTTTGCCCCCTCAGCAGCCCCTGGCGCTCCTGGCCCCGATGCCCTCTGGTCTGGAGTCATTGGCACTTTGGAGAAAATGAGGTGACGTGAGGAGTCGCCGTCCTTGTCAGTCGAGGCCGAGACACCGGTGACGGATGTCAGCCACAGCCGGGTCAGGGGATGAGGAGCCGCTCTGCCGGAACGCTCTGCCTAATTGGAAGGCGGCATTAACAGCAATGAGGACAATTAACACGAACGTCCAACCGTCTATGGAGCAGATGCCGAAAAATAAATGGAGCAGGGTTCTGACGAGCGGCCTGCTACTCTCTTAAAGAGACAGGACGTGTGGGAGGTGTGTGTTTGGTTAGAATCAAGGGCTACGGAGCCAGGGTCAGGGACCTGGCTAAAGGCCAGCTGCTGTCTCCCAGCTGGGCAGCCCTGGACAAGGCTCCTCCTGACCTTCCCCATGTAGAAAGTGGAGCAGGGTCAGGAGGAAGCCTTAGGGACAGGGGAGCGTCCCTCCTCCGCAGGCCCAAAGGACTCAGCCTCTGGACGCAAGCACCAGGCCTGCTCCTGCCAGCTCTGCTCACTGGATACTCTCCTGGAGGCCCCTCAAAAACCCTGGGGGTGGGGACCGTGGCTCCCCCACCTCCCACATGTCACCTCTGGGCAGAAGCTTAGGAGCCAGTTGCTGATTGACAGGCCCCTTGTCCTGCCGGGGCTCTCAGGAGCCCAAGGCAGGAGATGCCCTCAACCTGTGTCCAGTCGGGGGATGGCGGGACACAGCCCTGCTGGACGGACCCGCGTTGTGAGCCTGAGACTGTCTCTACTGTGAAAGCCCCTGCTCCTGCAGCAGGATGTGGCCCGTCCTGGGTCATCCTCCCGTGAGGGCTGAATCACCATCACCGAGGCCGTCCACCTCCTGGCTCCCCAGGACCTGTGACAGCTGACCTTACGTGACAAAGCTGACCTTTCAGACGGGACTCGACTCAGGGTTTGGAGGTGGAGCGATGGGCCCAGGAAGACCACAAGAGCCCTTCTAGGAGGAGGAGGAGGGTGAGGGTCAGAGAAGGACTGGACAAGAGACGAGAGAGATGGGAAGGTGCTGAGCGAAGGCTTGGGGAAGGAGGAACATGGAGATGGAGGAAGGCGGGAAGATTCCGGAAGCTAGAAAGGACCAGGAAACGGATCCTTCCAGACCCCAGAGCTGTGGGAGAACGAGTGGGTGCTGTTCACTAGGCTCCGGGAGCTGGCTGCCGTGAGACAGGAAGCGACACCTTTTCCACTCTTGGTAAAACAGCCTGCGTGGCAGTGAACTTCCTTCTTCGCCTCTCTTTGATAGAGAGATGAGAATTTCCCCAAAATTACAATCTCAAACAAAGAAAGTATCCCCTGAAAGTTTGATTTCCTCTTTTAAGAATTCAAATGAATTTCTGTTCAAGAAAATTTCCATCAAATGTCTGAGTTTAAATTTAAAAAACACCTAACAGCCCATCGGCCCCATTTAATGAAAACTCTCAGGCAGTTGTCCCAGTTGTCCCCATCCTGTATTGTGGTTGGATTGGGCACAGTCCTAGTGTGTGGCTGGCCTGGGGGTGGAGGGGTTTGGGTTCCTCTCTTCCCGCTGGCTGGGAAGAGAGCCCCCCGCCTCTCCTCACTGTGAGCTTATTTTCCTTGGATGTGGCTGTGAACATGCACCCTCTGTTCCAAGTTAATCTGCAGAAAATGGCAGGACAATCACCTTGCAGGTGTCCCTTAGTCCCAGAGCCCCCATGTCACGTTGCACTTTGCTTCCTGTATTTAGCTCAGGAGGGGCTCGGGGAAAGTCACTCACTGCCGGAGCGGTGGACAGCCGTCAGACTTGCCAACCTTTGTCCACGCCTGTCTGCATGTTCCGAGTTTATGGCTAAAGCCCTGTTCTCTTTCCACTTCTCTCCCCGGGACCCCTGCGCTGGAGCAGCCTGTGGACTGGGCAGGATTCTTAATGCCTGGTTTGATTGATCGGGTCTCTGCTGTTCTCTCATTTTGGTGCACAAAGGTTACCTAGCGCCAGAAACAATCAATGGATCACTAATGTATGCGGGCATGTTTTCACCTCTGTTCAGGCCACGAGACGTTTTATAGACAGACTGCCAAGTCATTTGGAAGCTCTGAGGTTCAGATTGCTTATGTAGCCGAGCCCAGGCAGGAGCTGACGGATCTCAGGTCTTTGTGCAGCTTGATTTCTCATAAGCTGCTAATGGGCACGTGGGGAGAGGGCAGTGAGATTGGACAGCCTCCACTCAGGATGCGGCAATCGAAAGTCTGCGAGGAGGCAGGAGATACCACTGACCTTCACAGAGGCACCTGCTCTACAGTGGGGGTGGGGGATGAGGCCTTTAAAGACAGCCACAGCTTGACTGGGCACACGGCCTGGCCACTGGGGGGAAGCTGCTAAGCGCTGAGGGTCCCTGGATTTGCACTCAGAGGGAGATCATTTCCACAGGGGCCGGCGGCACCGGGGCAGGGGTAGAGAAGAGGGCAGGGCAGAAGGAGGAATGACCTCATTAACAAGCCCCTCCTGCCGTTGACTGCTGGGAGGATAACAGAATGGAGGAAACGTCAGCCAATGTCCAGCTCCGGCCAGCAGTTCACCCTCAGAAATCCACGTGACATTAACAATGATCATGACACGTTCACGTCACCATCTTCCCTGGCACTAACCTCCTGACGGGCTTCCCGACACCATCTCTGCACCCTCTGGGAGCCGAACGCGGGTGAATAAGCCCTCACTCTCCCCGCCTTTTTGTGGGGCTCAGGCCTAAGGGTGGAGCATGTGGTCCAGTCACTCAGCTGGGGAGTCCCCCCAGCTCAGAGGTGGTTCAGGACAGCAGGGGACAGGAGCTGGTCCAGGCAGGGCGAGGCCGTCCCTGGAGCAGGAGTGAGGAGCGAGCCCCCCTGGGGCAGGTGCTGTGGGCTGTCCACCAATGGCCCCCCACCCGTAGTCCCTGGGGCAGTGGCGGAGAGCGCCAGGCCTTGCTTTCCCAGCCTCCTGGGCAGCCAGGGCATGGCGAAGCCTCGGGCCAGTCCCAGCCAGCAGAACTGGTCCCAGCTCCAGAACCAGTGGCCACTGGGGTGCTTGAGTGGAAGGGGTGAGGTTCTGGAAAGATCCACCCGTCTGGTGTGAGTGACAGCGTTCCCGACAGGCCCCTCTCCTGCCTTCGTTTGTGGACCGTCCTGAGAAGACAGATGGAACTGCAAAGCACCCAGAGCTCTCATGAAGTCACCGCGTCACTGTCGGAGCTGGCTCCCTCCGGGCTCTTGTGGCATGTGTCTGGTGGAGTGAGGGGCTGGCGGGCAAGCCGTGGGACAGGCCAAGGCTCTGTCATCTGGCCAAACCACGATAAGCGAGAATGTCCCGCAGCTGCTGAAAGCCATCTCAGCACTCAGGAGCCCAGGGAGGAAAGAAGTGAACAAACACCCGGCCACCGGCCTCATCCCCGAGCCACCAGCACCCAAGGCTGACCTCTGAGTTTTTCATCAAAACAATTTACCTTCACCTGAGTCACTTGGGTGAGTTTCTCTGGCCACTGACTACATTAAATTTTAAAAACTTCTGCACAACGGAGGAAGCCATTAAAATTTTAAGAATGTCCTCTACATTATATTTATAGTAGCCAAAGTGGATGAATTCATGAAAATACCCCGCTATCTAGCAATGCCTTGGTCAAATCAGATACGGCCCATCCATCCCGGGCTACTGCATGATCATTCCAAGAAATCCGACAGGCCAGTGTGCTCTTGCAGTATATCTAAGACATCCGTTGTGCAAAAACGTGGATGAATCATATTTACACAGGTGCACATCTTACACATATGTGTCTTTGCATGCCCAAGTTATAGGGCTGCAGGCATAGGAACTAGTCGAGAAGAACACATATTGGAATAATGAAGTTTCTAAATTAACAGGGGTGTGGGACAGTAAGTAGCAAAGGAGAGGCCTTTACCTCACATGCTTTGAAGTCATTTCAATTTTAATAGAATCATCTTTTTGTATTATTTTTGAAATTAAAAATAAAATTAAAAGCTGAAAAAGATCTAAAATAGCCATGCTGCTTTAACCGGGCTCTATTTAATACAAAACATCCCCAAGAAAGAAAGAAAACTGGGACCCAATAAAGCGATTGGGTGCGTGGACATGGGACACGGAAGGGGACGATCCTCCCTGGCTCCTGTGGCTCTGTCCTCCAGTCTCTGGGCTGAAGCTGAGAACCAGCTCTGGCCGCCTGCTGGGAGTGTCCCCTCGTCCCCGAGGCCAGACCTCCAGTGCAGATGGGAGCTGCCTGTGCTGGGCGAGGCTGGAGGGGAGCACTCTGCTGAGGCCCTCCCGCTGCACCTGACCACCCCGAGACTGTCCTTAGCGGCACCTGTCACTTCTGCCTTCATTTCTCCTGTGGGTGACCACGAGGAGGAGCCCGCTGGCTCGTGTTTCCCTCGCTCGTGGGACCCGGCAGGTGGCGGCTGTGTGTGTGAACCTGCCACTCAGGAGAGTCCAGCCCTACCAGGTCCCCAGGGTCACCCTGCCCTGTGCCGTCAGCAGCGTTGGCAGCGGCGGGCACTTCTCACCCTCTGGGTGGCTGTGGGAGAGAACGCTCTGCCCTGGGCCTCCGGCGCCATCCCGTGTCCGCAAGGCGGGACACTTTGTGTTCCGGGCAGCAGCAGTTCCAGTTCCGTGTTCTGATGGAGGAGTCAGTTGGTGGTTGGGAGATTGTTTCTCCCCTGAAGGAAACGCCTGGGTTTTCTCTGGCTGGGTTTAAGATGTACCTTGTGCAGGTTTGATCACCACGTGACCAAGGGTTCATTCCCTCATCGACATCGAGCTAGGAATTCTTGAGCCTGTGACTTGATGGAGTTCATCTGTTTTGGAAAATCCTCAGCTGCCCTCTGGTCCTCCTTCATGTTCTCATACTGACACGCTCCATCTCTTGTGATTTTCATCTTAGTTAACTAATTTTTCAGTTTGAGACTATGCATCTGATTCTTGCTTCATGAATCCCATTTCTCTGATAAAATGCTCTGACTTTTCAGTTTTTAAAATACTTGCTCTGTTTGATGAGAGTTTTTGCAAAGTCTGTCTGATCCCTTTAGGATTTACCCATCTGTGGGCTTTTCTAGGTCCTTTGTTTTCCGACCTCTTGACTTCTGGTCATTTTTACCTGCTAAGTCTACTAAGATCGTTATGAGAGCTGGGCATTCTGTTTGAAGACGTAGGGTCTTTTGATGCTCCTGGCTGCTGTGAGTAAATTCTGCTGACAGCCAGTATGGTGGGGCCAGTTAATAATCAAAGCTGGGGTTAAGAGAGTTTGAGGCTCATTTTCTGTTTTCGAAGTCCTGGCTTTTCAGTTTCTCTTTTCTTCGAGGTCAAGTCTTCCAGAGTCTAACCTGAAAGGCCAGCCTGTCTTCCGGAACTCCTGCTCTGAGCCTGAGCTCTGACCGTGGTGAATGGCATCATGAGGCTGGTGGACACTCTACCTGGTTTCTGGGCTTTGCAGCTCAGAAGCCAAGCAGTTCCCTGAGCAGCTTCAGCATCCACCAAGGCCTCCAGGGGAAAGTGCTGCAGAGAGTCAGACCACTGTCAGGGCCTCCTCCTTCCTGGCTGGCCCCGGAACCCTGGCCTCCTCCCTCGTCAGCCCTGGATGTCGGCGATGGTCTCCCCACATCTGTGAACTTGGCACAGAGCTGCTAAGTGCCACTTTCTCAGCAGCCAATTCCTGGCAGCCTGGCTTGTCTTCTAAAGCCTTTAATCAAATAATCAACGAACCAAACTGCTCTCTCTCTCTCTCTCTCTCTCTCTCTCTCTCTCTCTCTAATACAGGCTATTCCATCATACCTAAGTGGACACAGGTCCCTTCTTGCCTCTTGGATGAGTCACAGACACCTGGAAATCTGGGGTGAGAGATCCACACATCTCCTATCTAGATAAATGGCAAATTGTTTCAGTTCCTAGTTTCCCTTGAAATCAAATCGCAGGACTGCAGACAGATTTAAAGGCCTTCAGCGTGGAGGTGACGACACCTACCAGTGCTTCAGAACCAGGCAAGGAAGTCAAGCAATGCAAGCCTCTAAAAGAGTGAATCCAATGGCCAAAGACAAGTGAAAATCAGTCATGGTGACAGGGAAATGGAGTGGGGGCTGAGGTAGACCTGGGAGGATCTTCCACCCGGAGGGGATGTTGGAACAAGCTGCTTGTGGCAAGGTAGAGAACAAGCATTGACAGAGAAGATATTTTAGCCAATTAGTTCTATTTGATATGAAAACACACACTTTTAAAATTTTAACAATTTCTTTCTAAACCCTCTGCCCCCAGTAATAACAACAGCTGGCACAGGAGTTCAGAGCAGGGCTCTGGAGCCAGGCAGCCAGGGTCACATCCTGCCTTTACTCCTGCCAATCAGCTGGCCACAGGGAGGGCTTCTAACTCTGACCCCTTGATAAAAGTCTCCCCATCGGTCAGGTGGGGATGGTAAGGGGACCTTGCTCGTGGGGCGCGTGGGAGACTGGACAAGCTGCCGAGCCTGAGACCATGAATGCCAGGAAGGTGCTCATCAAACCAATATGCAAACCAGCTTGCAGACAGAGTCCCGCGAGCTGACGGAGCCCACAGCCGCCTGTGCAGCACCCGTCAGGCCCAACCTCCCTGCGCTGCAGATGGGGCAGGAGTGAGGCTCAGAGGCGGGAGGGGCCTGGCCAGGCACAGACACAGTTGTGATGGAAAACTAGGTCAAGGACTGGAGTAATTTTCTTTAGATGATTTGATCAATTAAGTCGTG